ATTAACAACAGGTGTGGTAGTCTCTGAGAGTCATTAACAACAGGTGTGGTAGTCTCTGAGAGTCATTAACAACACATAATGCAAGTGCTAAACACTGTGCCACAAATCTTTGCTTAAAACTATCAGCATAAACAGCTGAAGTCAACACTGTTAGCAAAATATCTCGTAAACCATTGGATTTTAACAAAACTTTCAGAAAACAATCATTGGTTGTAAAACTTCCTTTTTAGGACTCAACCCAGCTGAAGATTGATTTCACAGCTAATTAACATAAGCCAAAACAAAAATGGCTATAGCTGCTAAACCGTGTCATTCATTCATAACGCAGTCTGATGTCAGGTCGCTCAGCTTTAAGCTCGTCACGTCTCAGTATAAAATGATCTTAGTCTAAAACTCTGAAAGGTGGTCGGCAACATGCACTCCTGCAAGAAATGCCAGGCCTTTAATTGTATTAATTGTTATTTATGTAATTGTTATAAATGTTTGACTCTGGAAAGCAGGCATACCTTTTTATAGCTGGACTTTTTGATATCAAGTTGCTTTCCACTTAGGCTAAAAAAACAACAACACAAAAAATAGTTTAGTAATATTTTTAACCGACTCGCAGTAAGTTGTGAAAGATAAAAACTCTACCAGCAGGAGAACATGTGGTTGCGGAGAAATGTACTCGTCAGCAGAGGGAGCTCTGACTTCTTCACTTTGCTCTTGAGAGCGTGCAGAAAGCACTGCAGCAGCAGGGCGTCCATTTCCTCTGTAAAACCCAAACATGACATCCGTTCCTCTGCAACATGTTATAGTTTTATCCCATCAAATGTTTTTCACGTTAAGTTGCAGCTACATGGCACAAACACTTGTTTAGAAAAGTGAATAGCCGCCACTGAACTATAACTGGATCTGATTTGAATCTGGGATGTTTTCTGCACCTTGTGGTGTTTTCTGTTCATCCTGGTTGTCATCCTCTTGGTAACTGCTACTTTCCTCGTTGTCTCCTTCCTGCTCAGCCAGACTCAGCTCTTTGATACAACGTGCTTGATCTGAGACGGTTTCATCAGAACTCAGCTGCTCCAAACTCTGCTCAGTCTCTTCTTCTTGATCGTTCTCACCGACCTCACAGTTCTCTTCATCCGTCCCGTCTGCTTCACTCTCATCATCCGGTAAGGAAGGAGGAACTGACTTATCTCCAAAAGCCCTAAAATGACATTAGATGCATTCAGTTATTTTACTGTGCCCAAATGGATTCACCCCAGAAAATGGTGTTGCTGTCAGGAAGGGAAACTGTCACAAATGGGAATTGTAATAATCAATAAACAACAAAAATATCTCTATGTTGAATAAAGCTTTCAGTCTTTTTGGTGTATTTTATTTTTATCACTTGTCATTGAAGTAGTTACGTTTCTGCCCGTGTCTGTGGGTGAAGTTCGTTTGTAAAATTAGCTGAATATCTCATAACCTAGAAGACAGATTTTAATGAAACTTTCAGAAAGTAATCATAAGAAGCACATGAACTCCATTCAAGATGGCTGCCACAGCTAAACAACCTTAGCAAACACAAAAATGGTTCTAACAGCCACATTTAAAGATAGTGAGCTAAAAAGGGTTTGGTAGTAGCTGAGCGTTATCTCAGCTCAGCCTGGATTTGCACCTGCACTTTAGGACCGATTCTGGAGGCGTGTCCAGAATCCAAGTCCTGCTAATGAGAGCGGTCTGCTCCTCAGATAAATAATATTAAATTATTATTTTTATATATGAATGTTTCCTTTAACTTATTTTATATATGAATGTTTCTGTTCAGTGCCCTGACACGACTTCTGTTGTGACTTGGCGCTGTACAAATAAACTGAACTGAATTAAATCTGATGAACCAGATTCTACAAAAACATTTATATTAAAATCTAAAAAAGTTAAATCTGATCCTCTGGACGTTCAAAAAACAAAACAAACAAAAATAAAAAAGTATAAACGTTTCATCTTTCATCCGAAAGACTTCTTCAGTCTGAGGTGCTGTATTCAGCTATTTATAAGACTGAGCTGAATACAGCTCCTCAGACTGAAGAAGTCTTTTGGATGAAAGATGAAACATTTATACTTTTTTATTTTTGTTTGTTTTGTTTTTTAAACGTCCAGAGGATCAGATTTAACTTTTTTAGATTTTTCTACCTGGATTATTGAGCATGCATCAGGACATCTACATTTAAAATTCTATATTTTTCTTCATCATTTGATGTATTTGCACTCGTGGTTTTGTTTCTTGTATACAGATTATTTTTATCCTGATGCATGCTTATGGATGCTGTATGTATTATGTATGTATGTATGCTCATGCATGCTTATGATTATTTTTAGCTTTGAATTAAAGTTTAGCTTTGATTTAAAGCTTTAATATAAAGTGTAATGCTTGTTTTGTGATTTGTACATCTGTGGGTTAGAATAAGTTGAACCAAAGGCTGAGTCTCTTCTTTAAACATGTTGGAGGGAAATATGAGAGATTCAATAATTTAGTCTTTTTATGATTTTTCAGTTGAATTAAATTTAATTAACAGATTATTTAATAAAGTCAAAGGGAAAACAGGATTTCACGATAAAGCCGGCACCGTTTATTTATTTTTAATTAAAAAAAACTTATATTTTATACATAAAATGTTTTTAATACAAAGTTTCCGCCCCCCGTCCCTCCATCCCGGTCCTCCCGCCTGCCAGGGCTCGAATCCGGTCTTTGTGAGCAGGTGAGACCGGGGCTCGGGGTTCGGCCTCGCGGGATTCAACGAGTCTGCAGCTTGTATGATCCTCCGCGGTGACTCCGCTCGCTCGAATTTTATAGTCGATCACCAAACACAAAAAACGCCTGGACTTCAGAATTAAACACGGCGTTGTCATTATTGTTTTTAAAATCTTAAAAATAGATCCAGCCGCTGCTCCGCATCCAGAGAAATTGCAAATGGCGGCTCAGTGAAAAGTTTCTGAGATCCAGTGACTCCTCCCCCTGACCAATCAGAGTCCTGCGTTCACGCTTCGGTCCGGACTCAGCTCGACTGAGCTCGCTCGGTCCCACCAGAGAAGCAGGGACGAAAAGAGGTCCTGAATCAGACTCAAATCAGCTAAAAATACTAGCTAAAGGGCTGGTGCCAAAGGGTTCTTTCTGTGGCGGGCTGCCCAGAATTGGGGCTTATTAGGGGCGGTGCAAAAGGGGCATGAGTCTGATTAACTTTAGGAGTCACCCCAGCTCAAGATGGTCGCCACAGCTAACCCACACAAAGACGACTATAGTTCAGTCAATTGTACAAGAAAATCACGGCCTGTGCATTCTTTACTATGCAGTTTTTTGTTGCTCCCCCATGGCTCACTTTCTATCCACCTTGGCAGCGCCTCCATGTTTAGGATTTAATTTTTTAAAAATTCAGAAGCTAACTTTGGATCACATGTGGACAGTGCTAAATGCTCAGGACACACTAAATACTCCTTCAAAGCTGACTGTTCAGACCAGTTCCCAAAGTTGGGTTCATAAAAAGGGTGGATGTCTGATCCTCCGAGATAAATCGTATCTAAAAAAGATTACTAAAAGCATACAAGTCTGGACAACAGCAACATTAAAAAGGGTTGTTTTATGAACAAAATGAATAGAGGAGGGAGAAGCTAAGGTGAGATGGAGGCTTAAGATCTGCTGTGGAACCTCCTGAAGGGAGAAGCTGAAAGATCAAGACAACAACTGGACAAAATTAGTAGAACGATTGAAAAGGCCATCAGTGCTGTCATGTCTTTGTTCGACTGACAGCAGTGTTTGCATTCTTTAACCAGTGGTAAGTGTTTTCTTGAGTCTCTGATGTTATTTTGTAGGTTTGAAGTTAAAAGGTTTAAGAACTGTCACTTTTGGAGATGGTCTGGAATGATTCACATTTTTAATTTAATCAAAAACACAAAAAATATTCAAATTTCACTGAAAAGTGAGCTGCTGCGTCAACCACACAACTAGCCATATTACCAATAAGATTTAGTCTTTCTTTTTATTACATATCCATAAAATAAATATCTCTTAGTCGTCATCTCTGCTCCTCAAATTGGGCTTCATCTTATCTTATTCTTACACCACAGGACTACAATGAGCGTTAGCAGGAAATCATGTTGCTGTGTGTAATAAGGTACACACAGCTGTAGTGAAAACTACAATTTAAGCCATTATCTTTAATACAATGACAAAGTTCAAAGCCACTAACCAGAGATAATCCTTGTATGTGTGGAGAACACACACTCCTCTTCCTTTCATACCTGAACTCTGCATCTGTGATCGAGACACTGCAGCTTTGCCAACTGCAACTGGAGCCCTGCAATCACCCAGGAGAGCAAAGATCATACATTTTTCAGGAACACAGAAAAAGCGCAGAGAAGTACTTTATTTTAAGCGAACCTATTATTCACAATTGTAACCGCACAGCAGTCCCCTTGGTTCACATCTGGCAGACCGCATGAAGGCACCACCACACCTGGCAGCATGAGATCTTTGGAAAAGAACATTTTCTTTTAAACCTTTGTTGTGAACCGACACATCATTTCATCTCTTAGAGAAACTCACCGGCCCCTCCAATCAGCTTCTGAAGCACCGGAGCCCATGTTCTGAATACTGGTAGGAGAGTAGGACGACGCCAAAGCACATACACTGAAATAATGTGACGAAACACAAAAATATGAGCTAATCTGTCGGTTACATGCTTTACTCTATTGCTGATTTATTACCTGTCGGATAAAGTTGTTTCTCCAGCTCAAAGAAGAGGGGGTTTTTGTGAAGAACATAAACTGTCACAGCTTCTCCCTTGTGTGCATAAATCTTCACCACATTACACTCCTCTTTACTGGGGACAAGCTCAGACAGCTCTTCAGCAGACAGTGAAGGAAATGCTGCTAAAAGATCAGCTTTGAGCTTTCTCCTAGAAGCAACAAAACGCATTTGATTCTCTGTTTCTTTCCTTTTGTCTAATAAAATGGTTGTACCTTTTAGCTTCTAGGTAGCAGTTTGCTAAGCTTCCATTTTTAATCATCAAATTCTACTGAAAAATAATTAAAGTTACAATAAATGATGCATGCCTTGTCTTTAATTAGACAAACGAAAACCAAATTCAAACCACGATGGTGAGGATTATAAAACGTTCTTGATCCAAAGCAGGAATTTACAGATTACTGATCTCCTGCTGCTATCTGAATACTGTGTCCGATGATTCAGCAGACAGAAGAAAACAGGACTTGTTTGTGAGCAGGACTGACTCACCTGTCTGATCCTTTGATTGCGGTGTTGGATTTTACTCGAAACGGTTTGGCAAACATTTTGTCAAAAGATAAATAGCGTTACGTCAGCTGCTCTGCCGCTCAAATACCCGATACCGTCTTTCAATCCATCATGAAACTCGTTTGCCCTACATCAACACTTTCCCACACATTTCCAATGTTATTGTGCAGGGACCAAATATTCCTCGTTGGACAAGCCGGTCCGACACGTATTTACTTCCGCTGAGAAACTGTACCCCCATGTAACGTTAGTTCCGCACACTTCTCCTTCTCCGTAATTAATATTTTTAACTATTCACCATTAGTTCACAGCTCATTATCACCTTTTATTAGTTGCGATGCTGTTTTTAAAAGTCTGAAAAAGTAAAGCAGGAAGAAAACCATCGGATGGATTCATTTTTTTTTTTTTTTTTTTTTTTTTTTTTTTTTTTTTTTTTTTTTTTATTAAAGATTTTAATCACACATTACAAACATCTGTTTGCCAGGGGTATAGATATTAATGTAAAAGAGATAATATTCTAGTACAAAACATAAAAAACCATGAAATTATATTTACAATTTATACAGAGTTTAAATTCACA